AGGTGTGAGGACTAACTTCTTGCATCCTTCCTTACCCCCATAAACACGTATCAGAATGAGATGGGTTTGTGACCAGCCTTTTACTGTAACTCTTTTTATTGTGGTACTTTTCTCAACTGTCTTAGTGTAAATCTCCTCCCTTGTGCTTGCACAGAAATCCTTCCAAATGCAAATCCAGGTTGTCTTCAGGTAGGGTTGTGGTTTACCGTTCGGAAACAGCCTGCTGTGGGAGGTGTGAACTTCCACACTCTCCAGTGGTAGAAGTGGAAAGGCTGTTGCAATAAAACCAATAAATGGTTTGGTGGTAATATTAAATCTTCTACCATCTGCAAAAATCAGTCTTTTTCTCTGTACAGGAACCAACCACATGTGGTACTGATCTAGCTCTTGGACTCACAGTGGTATTACTATAACGCAATTACTATTTCTTCTGCTACCATTAATGCAAAATAAGCAACAGGATAGAAATGCTAAGTGTGGCAGCGCAAAACTGAGTAAGTAGTATTTACACTTAATCCCTTTTGTCGTTAGATGTATATTCAGACTGAAAAAATAAGCTATCTTTAAAGAAATGCCTTATTCAAAACCATGATACGGCTGTTTCTGGGAGAGGCACCCTTCCTATTCTGCCCATAGCAGTACCTCAGCATCAATCCCAAGTGATACACAGGCATGGAAAGAAGTGTTCAGTTGTTGAGCAGTATTTTTCAGCTGTTCTTCATCACTGGGAAAGACTAACAAGCTGGTGGGAAGTGTAATGTCAGGGAGTAAATGTTTAACAGCATGATCCAGGAGATTTTTGTTGAAAGCTAAAACTGAGAAATTAAGGGGAAAAAGTTCTGGTTGTGTTACATGATTTCCATATAGTGTCTTGCTGAAATGATCCTGTATATAGAAATTTGTGCTGTGAACAATCTTACATGCACTGTAAGTGTTGTGAAAAGCTGATTGCAGGGCCATGCTCCATCAGAAACTGCCCTGGTGGTGGTGAAAACAGGTTTTTTTAAGAGGATCAATAACTTACTGCAGTAATAATCAGTGTGAGCAAGCACGAGTATGTTTTAATATCATCTGCTGGAGGAAGAATTGGTGGTAGTAAAACTAGTCTTCAAAGCCACACAATGTAGCATTATTAAGCTCATTCAGTAGAGATGTTCCATTCCCTTTGGTAAACTACAGTGAACAGTCATGATTACAAATGCAAGACCCTGTCTCCCTCCCATCCCCACTGGTACCTCTGTTCACATCAGCAGGAGCTTTGTGCAAAGATCAGAGGGAGACTCTGACCTCTGTCCTGTTCTTAAGCCAAAGGGTTAGGACAAAATGGCATGTGATCCTGTAGTGCAGTTGGTGGCTCTCAGCCTGGAAACTAAGGATAGCAAGACACTGTCTATGGCTTAGCAGAGAAAATAGTAAAATACATTATTTTTTCTTAAAAGCTACATAAATATCAATGCAGACTCCAGATAAATCCTAAAATTCATGGTCAGAAGTATTCTCCATCTCCTTAGTGGTCAACAGCTCTATATATTGATAGGAAAAGACCTGAAAGTTCAGTTTTCTTTGACTTTCTGGGGGAAATGAAGCCATGACAGTCTTCACAAATTTCTGTGAGCTTCGGGAGCACTTAGTTTTTCTTCAGAAACTAACTGTCCCATCAGGTACATCATAAATTCAGTTGTCCTCTCAATAGTTCTGGGAAGGACCACCTCCATCGTAGACTTCAGCAGAGCATCATCATCTGTGGGCAGATTTCCACCATAAGTAAATTAAACTGTGAGGGTTTTGAATGATCTGCAGGACACACCATGGGCTCTTCACAAAGTTACCTCAAGCTCTTCTTTTCCCTGGTGGTAGAATAGGTTTGTACCCCTGGTAATTTTAGTAGGAACTATCGTCACCCGTATACTTTGTGTATCCAAAACCAGTGCTTGCAGTTGTTTTTGTAAGGCATCACATTATAGATACCACATTTCTAACTAACTCAGTGGTTCCTGCATTTGCCTCTTCATCAGCCGTTAGAGTAATGGATTTGCTGTGTTATTCATAAGCTGAATGCCTTAGCAACAGCAGCAGCTTTCCAGGCCACTCAGCTCAAGAGGAGCTGCTTAAGGTCTTCAATAGTGGTTGTCCTTGACTTCTTATCTGCTTTTGATGTCGATGAATTTTATTAATTAGGATGATAATAGATCATATTCATTGGACAAATATTAGGTTAGTTTTTTGTAAAATTGAAGACTGGCCCTGATCTTGCAAACATGTAATTACGGGACTATCTGCATGCCTGTGAGTAGCTCCATTGAAGTCATTTAAGTGTTTGCAAGTAGCTAGTTACCATGTTCTCAGCATCCTGCATACTTAATTCCCTCTCCTGCTGTTTTACTACATAGAGGAAAACTGGAGTTTTGTGTGTGTGTGCTTAGAAAAGTAAATTTGTTTTCTCATATTTGGCAATAACCAGTCATCTGGTCATTTCCAACTGAGGTGACAAAGACGACATAATGTATTGGAACTATAAAAAACTGAAAATTGCATTAGGCATCATTGAAGGAAAGTACCCCTTACATCAGAGTGACAGATGAGTGCCCCCCAAAAGATATTTGTTGTTAGAAATGACTGCTTATAAAATTAAAGTTCTTTCCAATCCTTGAAAAGGAAGTACAGAAAAATGGAAAGACAACAAATAAAATCAGTTAAAAATAAAATTTGTTGAAATAAATTTACTATATAATAAATACTTTTAAATAAATATTAATAGAATTAATAAAAATGAAATTAATATTATTTTCAGATTAATTTTATTGAAATCCTATTTTAAAACCTTACATTTAATTTTTAATGTGTTTTGTATGAAGCAATAATTTTTAAAAAGCCTCTTAACACATTTTGATGACTACTACAGCTGTAGTTTTTTATATAGTTTACGCTTTCATATAAAACCTGTAAAGTAAATTTGTTGTGATTTTTAGAGCAGAACACTAACTCATTACATTTGCTGCTGTTTAGAGGTTGTCTTTTCTGTTCCTGCCATATCATTTTGCTGGGAATATATAGAACTAATGCAGTGTGGCTACTTGGTTTTCTGGCTGCTATTCCACTGAGTTCCGCAGTTTAATAACTCAAATTTGCCCTATAAAAGCTGAAATACCAATTTTTTTTTTTAAATATAAAAATGCAACGTCCTTAGCAATGATTCCTTCTTACCCTACAATATCCCTGTCCTAAAATAAAATTTTTCAGAGTCTGCTGATATGATTAACAGATAAAAGATAACTTGAAAAATGCTTTTGAGACCACTAAATCAGAACAATTTCATTGCTGGAGATTAAAAAAAAAAAAATCCCATCATTTGGACTAATGAGAAATGGGTAATGACTACATGGGGATTTTGCTAACTGGCCATGTATAATTGCCTGCTTTAAGATTCCATCACTGACTATATATCTGGCCTGAATATGCTGTTGTGAAATTACATGTAAAAGACATTGATAGCCCAAACCTTCCATGAAATCACATCATCATATGTCTGGTTTAGAAGTATTTGTTTCCAGTGTTTATGAATGCCCATCTCTACTGCAGATTTCTGGGCACCAAAAGAGGAGGCGGTGTGTGCACTCCTGAACTGACATCAGACTCATTCAGCCCCCAAAGTCTACACAGAGTTAGTTCATGCACATGCACAAACTGTTCAGTGTATCTTTTATTTGAAATTCTATAGCTCTAAAAGAAAAAAACCCTGCATTTTAAAGATTAATTTTGACAGCTTGTTGCTTAATAAACTGTTTTATTTGTGTCTTCAGGATGTTGACCTGAAAGCATGTCAGGAAGCTTTGGATGTCTGTTGTCCATACCAAGGAGATAATCAGCTGGAACTGCAAGAGGAGGAAGTCATAAATCAAGTAAATGATGAAAAAAAAAAAGAGAAAACTGTGAAAAGGAAGTGAGGGAGGATATATATCTTATCAGTGAGATAAAGAGTAAAGTAAACAGAGAGAGAGTGGTTTTGAAAGGAATATTTGATTTCCTATTTTCTTCTGGAGTGTCCTTTGCAAGGGCAGGATAGGAACAGCGGCTTTAGACAGTACTTTGCAAATGATGCCCTTATACACCTTCTTGAAAATTCCCCCCCCTGCCCCATGTAGTTTATGTAGTTGAAATGTTCTAAAGTTTACAGAAATCTCTTGCAACTAACCTTTTTTCACTCTGGTTTTATTTTCTCCATCTTGAAAGGTGTTGTGTCTGTGAGCAAGGATTTTTTTGACCTACAAACACCTGAGACGTGGATGCTTAATTATACTGCTTTCACCATTTATGTAAAGATTGACGCTTAGATGTAGAATTACATTTGGGAAGCTTGATTGTTCAGATCTTAATGTGTACTGTAGCTAGAAGGCAGAGAAATAATCTTAATGATGTTAAAACGAAATGGGTGCACTTTGGATTTTGTTCTCTGTGAGAACAAAAAGAGTATTCATTCTTCTTGAGACCTTATGAGAGCTGAGAACATCAGATCTGGTTTTCCTGACAGCCCCTCTGTTCACCACTGCCCTGGCAGCTAGGCTTTGGAAAAATACTTGATTTTTCCACAGTGGTGCAGGTGCAGCCTCAGAGAGGAGGAAACCCCAGTTCTGCTGTTGTGGGGCAGAGTAGGATGCTCTTGCCATGGAGTTATTCTGCTCGTTCCAGTAATGTGTCATCTCTCATCAGGATGAAGGCTTGAAGGCAGGGTCAGCACCAGTGTTTCACAAAGCTGTACTCTGCTTCCTCTCTGACTTTGATTTTTACCTCTTTTTATGTAAAATAACTGTGCTTTACAAAGTGTTTGTGTCTTCTGTCACAGAGCAACGGCAACCATATAGATTCCCATCTCATCTTAAAGGGCTATTTACAGCTTCTGTCATCGCAGGTGGAAAACATGCTAGAGGTAAATGGGAAAATACATGTACTGCTAATAGATTGGGATACAGTCAGTGACTACTGGATAATTATTTGCTCTGTTCTGTCTGATTAAAAAACCTCCCAGTGAATATATCAGCAAATCAGTGCAGTAAAATATACCAGAAGATGTTAAAGACACTAGCATCCATCTTTTATAGCAGCTGTTATTGGCTCCACTCAAAGAATTTTCCCCAATAATTTGTCTGGGATTTGAAAACTGCAAAGTCATGTCTTCTCTGTCACCAGGTGTTCAGTTGGATGGAGCCACTGGACAACTTAATGAGTTCAACTGATAATTCCCTTTCTGAAACCTAATGCCGGTTCATTTTTATACAGTAGCTCTTGGTATGTTTCTCTGTCTAGCAACACTGAGTTATTAAGCACTAGCAGCTATTAAGCATTTGCAGCCAAAGATTATAGTTGCCATAAATATTTGGTCAAGTGCTTACAAAGATACTACCCTCAAGAAGAACAGACCCATCTTTGCTGCAAATCGGGTTAGACATCATTAGTGTCAAAACCATTTTTTTTTTTTTTTTTAATATCTTCTGGGCTTCTGATACTATTCTTTACTTTCTGCGTGCCCATCTTCACAAATAAACAGTTGTTATCTTTCTTAGAATCTCTCTCTTCTCCTATAGCTCATAGCTGCAGTCATTAACCATGAAGCTACTCCCTACATTCCTTAATTTGCAGGACTCCAAGGGCATTTTACATATGCTTTCCATTGGAGGAGCCTTATAGGGTCATTAGTGTTTTCCATATAACTTCATGTTTATCTCTGGAACAGCTAGTTTTGGGAATCTCTAGGTTGGATAGCATCTCCCAGCCTATAAATTAGCCTCCTCCTCTGCTCAGCTTTGGTAATGGATTCTACACTAACAAGGTTCAGAAGTTCAGCAGTTTAGTTTTCTCTATTCTTTTCATAATTTGAAAGGAATTTGGCTGTAGCCTTTATGTAGCTATAACAATACATGGTTGCATATTTTATTTAAGACTATTAATGCACTGCCATCTTGTGACAATCCATCAGTTGAAAATGGGCTGTTTCTTCCAGGTACCAAGTCTTTACAGTGTGGGGGATTTTTTTTAATAGTTAATTTGCTAAGAATATTTATTTTCAAGGACTTAATTGAAATTACCGGCTCTGTCGCTCAGGCTACAGGTGGTCTAGTAAAAGGTAACTCCCTAGGAGAAATAAGGCAAGACTTTCTTCTGTTACCTGAGCTCTGAGTAAGCATAGCAGAGAACTTAAGACATTCTGGTTTTTACACCACATCATTCCTTCCGTGTGGAAAATGCTTTTTACATTGTTTATTCAGTGCACTGCAGTCAAAAAAGTCCTTTCCTGCACCACAGTAGGGATGCTCAGCTATGGAGGAATCATATCATACACTTCCCACTTTATATATTTACATTCTCAAGTTTTTTGTATTCATGTATTTTATGACTACTCTACTTGTTAGCAAGCACCCTGAGATAATCTTACACAGTGGCTTTGTACTTCTGGGGCCCAGCAACTATAACCCAGGCCCAGAAAAGGTAGTCCTAAATGCTCCTTGTTTATTGTCTGAACTTCAGGACTGAAGGATCATGTAGCAGCTTTATTTTTGAAAGTAAAAATGAGTAGTAATTTAAAGTCAAAAGACATCCACAGAAGGTATGATCTGGGGGAGGACGTTTTCTCCAAACTGATTAATAAAGGAGTTGAGTTGAAATCAGAACACTATAGACCTTGGTTAAGAAGGAGCTATGCCAAGTGTGGCAGCTCACAGCCCCAAAAGCTTTAGACACTGTGAAAGAAAAGCAGTGAGAATGTGCCAGCATGACCTTAAGACCTCAGTGTTCCTGTTCTCCTTCCCTCTTTTCTTACACCACTGTTCTTACCGGTTAAGTCCTGCCAGTGAGCTGTTTATCTTCTTTACACAATTTTCTAACAGTTTAGCACTGTGAATCAGCTCACCCTGGAATCAGATGATCATCAAACCCACTACCCAGGAAGGGGCAGGATCACCTCTCCTAGGCCAGATCAGATGTAACACATAGGCTGTAGCTTGATGTACACTTAGCAACAGTCCCATTTTCACCTCTTAACAATCATCAGTCCCACACTGTCCTTGGAGAGTCCTCCTCCCATCCCTTCAGTCACTTTTCTTCTACACCCTTCCTGCCTCCTCTCACCACATACCAACGCAGGTTATGCTGTGTACAAATGGGAAACAGTATTCACGATAGCTAGAAGGAGAGTTTAATGTACAAAATTTTGACTTTAATAGATTCAAATAGTGGAATATTAAAAAATAAATTGATCAAGCCTGTATAGGTGAGGAACGTAAAGGCACTAATTTTATGAAAGATCCCATTTTTCCCATCTTTTCATCATCTTTTAGGTGAGTTTACTGGAAGATATACAAGTTGCTACTTCTAGTAGAGGCCAAGACCCATCATCTTCACACTACAATGTAAGTTTGGCCCAGACACTTTGCCACTGTTTCAGTCCTCATGATGCCATGCTACTAAGAACAGACTATCCCACTCAATCAAATTCAGAAACAAGACATTTACAAAGGCAAGAGTCTTTTCCTCAGTCAAGCTCTAATATTACAACTCCAGAATCACTACTTTATGAGTCAGATTTGACAGGGCTGTTTTCAGATGCTGATGTTAGAAACCTAACAGCCTATGATAATTTGGATGAAATTAAACTAATCTCTTTGGCTTTGGAGGAAGGCTTTCATCCTATAGAAGTTTCTCAGCTCTTTGAAGAACCTGGCTCAGATTTAGGACTGTCTTTGAATTCAAGTCACAGGACTGCTTCTTACTCAGCTTGCAATGAAAGTGCTGTTGGGTACAGCAGTGATGTAAAATCTGCCTCTTCACATGGTTTAGGAGCTGTTGGTGGCCATAGCCAAGAACACAGCAAATACGTTCATGTCGAATATCCAGGCGATTCAGAGTGTTCTAGAGAAGCCACACTTCAGCAGTTTCTTTGTAACCACACTTATAATCAGCTGCCAAGTCACGCAGCATCCACTCCAAAGCATCACCAGCAAATGTGGATGGAGAAACAAAATAAAGTAAACGATATGTGCCATAATTCTACTGATACAAACCTTAGCAGCGATGAACGCCACGCAAAAGCTCTGAGAATACCATTTTCGGTAGATGAAATTGTGAGCATGCCTGTTGACTCTTTCAACACTATGCTAGGAAAGAACCATCTGACAGGTATGCAGGTATCACTGCTACGTGACATGAGACGAAGAGGGAAAAACAAAGTTGCTGCCCAAAATTCTCGTAAACGTAAACTGAACGCAATTCTTAACTTGGAAGAAGACGTATATAATCTTCAAATACAAAAGGAGAACCTTAAAAAGGAGCACTCTCAGTGTAGCAGATCAATCGGACAGATGAAGCAAAAGTTAAACAATTTGTACCGTGACATTTTCAGTAGACTGAGGGATGACCAGGGTAGGCCTGTTAACTCTTGCCAATATGTCATTCATTGCAGTAACGATGGCAGTGTTTTCATAATACCCAAACACTTGGTCAAATCACAACAGAAACAAGATAACAAAAAAGAGCAGAAACAAAAAGAAGATGGTTGAAGGTCACTTAAGTTTTATTTTTCCTGAAAGAATGATATTTTTGTGAAGACTGTAGGTCAGTGATTACAGTAGTACAAACAGAAAAGACTACATTTGAGGAGAAAGACTGCATGTTTAAGGGTCTGGCAAACCCAGCCAACTGATCTGTTAGAAAGTCTACTAGCTGAGGCTTCTGAATAAGGAAATCTGTTTAATTAGAATTAAAGGAGCTATGCCATCACTGTAAGTGTAGTTATATAGACCTATGTAATACTAGGAATTTAGTTTCTGGTGGTGGGCTAGAGGGGAGAACATCAGTGGGGGGAAAAAAGCAAGCTTTAGATCAAAGTTACACGTGGAAGAAAAATGTGGTTTAGTCTTGAGCACTTGATACTTCATACACAAAGTGACCTTATTTTACTATTCTTTTTTATCACTAAATGAAAAATTGTAGGTCAAATTCATCTTTACCTTAAATTCACTGTGGACTTAGGTATTCCTAGGAGATAACTGTGCTTTGTATTTGTTCAGAACTGTTCTGCTTTTCCTAGTTTACCTTTGAGGAGAGGCCCAGGAAGCTATTGCATTTTTCCTCACTACTTTCACCATCGTAGCTCCAAGCAAACATAATGTACCAATTGATTTTACAACTCATATGGTCAATCTGCAAATAGATTCCGAAAAATTAGTATCCGATTCAATGTTGTCTTACCTTTATCCTCTGCAACTGAATTGTTCTCAACTCTCTTCCATGAAAATTAGTGATAGTGAATGAGTTCCTATTTTGTTTCCTAGTCTGTGATACATTTACTTGTGTACCTTTGCTTTTTCCCCTATTTGGATACCTTCCTGAAGTAGAAGTACTAAAAGTTTTTCTTTTTAGCTTTTTAAAACTGGTATTAAGTATCTTCAATGTTATGGATATTTTTTTTTTTTGGTAAGATTTTCCCCAGATCCTTAAAAGTAAATTAAATTGAATCAAATTACTATTTTTCTGCACTTGTGATAATGAGGTTACACTCTGATAGTAGTAGCTTTGAAGGAACTTTTGATTTTGATATTTGTTCTGTGAAAAAGATGTTATATTCACTCACATTTATTCACAATAGCTTATCCTTTTCTAGTTTACAACCTGAAAAGGGTCTGTGAAAAAGGTGGCCTAAAAGGCATGTAGAAAATAAGGAAGAAATGTTGAGTTATACTAGTTTGTAAGATATTAAAATAATAATTAATATTAACAACTAGATAGCAACAAACACTTTCTACATCTTTGATAAACAAAACCTGTAAAACTCATATTAAAAAAAAAATCTCACTGGTCATGGCATGATGACAACATAGCAACTTTACAGTCAGGTATGTTAAAAATCACTTGCACCAAAGGTGTAAGAACTACACATATATGCAATATAAACTTAAATGCCAAATTATACCTTTTGAATAAATAAACTGTCATTAGCATGTAAATCATGTTGTCTGTTTGCACTTATGTTTACATTAACTGGTAGCACCAAGTGGTATTTTCTAAAAAGGGAGCAGTGCCTCTGCAAAATGCAGTGAATGATCAATAATGAAATCAGCCAGTCTGAACAATTTGCCCTGCATTTTATATTAAAAGACTTCTTTAAATAAATGTATCTGTTTTATTTATCAGTTTGGCCACAGCCTCAACTTGATAGGATAAATTCATAGTGGAAACTTTCATTGGTAAAGCCCTGAAATTTCTCTCTATTGGTTAAGTATCAGCATGAGGTGTATCTATGCTAGCTGGTATTCACAGGAATTTAATTTCTTGTCATGAACTTCAACCAAAGCATGCAACAGGTAACAGATACCTATGAATTGTGAACTTTATTTCTAGTTCCAGGAAAAAGCCCAGTATGTATTTTCAATCAGCATGATTACCATCTTTTAATTAAATGACATAATAAGCTTTTTGAATTCTGCGCATGTGGCCTTTGTAGGACCACATCTTTTAAGTCTACTTCACGGCCCCATGCACACAAACTCTAGATACTAGATTAGGCCCATAACTGATAAAACCAAACCCCTAAGTATTTCTGGTTTAGAGCCTTGCAACACAAGTTTCAACAGTTCTAAAGGGAAGAGAGGAAAAAATATGTAAAAATGGCTAAACCTTCTGTGCCTACACCTTCAGTAGCAGTAGAGTGAGCACTGCAGACTTTTGTAAAGCCAGCTACTAATGAAGTATTAAACATACACCCAACTGGGTAATAGTTACATGACTATATTTTGGCACATGCTGAAAAAAAGGAAGCATGCTGGAACTCTTTCAGAGAGCAATCCTAACAGTAAGCAGTATACTCTAGACGATCCATATAAAGTGAGGACATCTGCCCCAACCCCATTCCATTATCTGTAAATTTCCAGATGGGAAAGTACAATGAACTGCCCTAAGCTAATTCCACTCTTTGTTATTGCTCAATGGCCATGTTTCTTTAAGGCATCTTTGTATGAATCTCAATTTCTGATAGCTCAGCTAAAAACCTCTCAGGTGAATTATTAATTTTGGGTGGACTGTGACTTATAGCAGCGCTGATGATGCAGACACCGAGCACTAGGTCTGGACGTACTCATTTTCTCAAACCTTCAGCTACCTACCCATAGAAGAGACAAAACCGTAGGCAGAATTCAATGTCCCATTTTTTTAAGTTTTAGTAGACTGCCATTAAGTTACACCTAAAAACTCTTGGTACTTTCTGTGACTAGCTTATGTTTAAAACCCAAACTGCTTAGTCTTGGCTATAGCTTACATTTTCATGTCCTTAAATTATCTGTGAAAGTTCAGCTAGACAAAAAAGGAAAGCTAATTTTACAGCAAGCTTTCCTCCAAACACAAAGGATTTCTGAAACTACTTTCCATGTTTCAGCCTTAGACTGTATTTTCAACCTCTATACAAAAAGGAGACACTGGACAGGAATCCAGGAGCTGTTCAGCTAAACTTGTAAACCAAAATGGTTGCAAAAGGTAGGAAACCACTATCTTGGCTTTGTTGATACATTGTCAAGAAACCAAACTCCTCAGTGTACAAACCTGGAACTAGGCTATGTAAAATCACATAATGTGGTACCAAAATTACTCCAGAGCCAGATGTCTATTGATAAAGCTGGTGCCACCTCCTACCTTACTGAATACTAACATGGAGAAAGGCATCTCTCTGAAGTAGGAACAATGAAAACACTTTTAAGACTTGTTACACTGCTAGAATACTGCAAAACTGAGGATTGTAGATGAGGCCGTTGATAAAGCAATAAAAAAATGGAAATGCCAACATGCGAGTCCTCATTATTGTTCCCATGGTAAAGCTATTAAGCAGTCTGTAACATCTGAGCAGTAAACTGCATTTTCCTTACATTAATAATAAAAAGAGGTTATCTGCAAGAGGTTAGGTCATATTAATTATAGAGGGAAAACACTGGGTGGTGGGGAAATAGCAAAGTGTAGATTACCTTCCCCATTATTGTGGGTAGCAACACACACAGGCACTACAGAACAGCATTAGCTGGTAGCTGCTCTTAGATCCGTACCTTTTGTAGAGAAGCATCCATTGGAAACAAACACAACTTCAGTACTTTATTAGAACGCAATACCCTTATGACAGGTAAGGCTGAACACTCACGTACAGACGCACCGCAAATAAGCCCTCCCAGAAGAGACATGTCACACCGCTTTGAATGAGCACTGACAGTGCTGCACTGAAATGCAGCTTTAGCTCCATGGTTCAGTTTTATTCAGTAGACGTGGCTTTTACAGCAGCTAAATTTTACAGGCTAAGGTTGTTCCTGCTCAAGAGCTTACAATCTAAGTTTTAAGATAGGGTAACCAGAGTAATGGACTTCAAAGAGCAAAGAAAGGACAAAGCAACTTTATCAGCATGTTTTGTCAGTTTTAACAGCTGTTATTTGTCCCAAAATACACATGCTACAATCGTATCTTACGGGAGTCACAAGTATGGTTTTAATGAGAATCTTGACAAAGTAGAGGCCTATAAATGAGGCAACATGACACTTGGCACCAAGTTCTAGTGAAAAACTATTTATTAAATAAACCAAATAGGGATGACACATGTAACCATGTGGTCTTACTACCACAGCATACCTCATAAAAGCACTGCAACTCGATACCTGCTACACAGCTACTAGAACTCCATTAAATGCATCAGCCCCAGAACGGACCAAGAAAGAGCAGAACAAGTAAGAGGAAGGGGAAATCATGTATTGGTGAGAACTTGGGGGAATGACAATTTTCCAGGACTTACACAGACACCTTTTTCACAGACTGAAGCAGCACGGGAGGTCACACAAGCTAGTTTGTAAACTACATGGTCCCCAAACACTGTTGGCCTAGTATGTTCATAGCACTCGGTCAGGCAAGTCACACAGGCATTTAAAGTTAAACAGTGTACATTTACTGTTGATATATAAACCAGTTCTTGCTACATTAACTGGAGTAACTTTGACAACACTCAAATGTCTGCTGCAATGCAAATCAACACTAGCTGCAAAGCAAGAACACAATTGTTAAAAGAGATAGTATGGTTTCTGCCAAGACAGATCAGTGTTACCCAGGAAAACCCTTCCATGTTACACTCCTCTGCATTCCTGCTAGTATAGCTCTGTATAAACAAGATGAGAGCCCGGCAGCTCCCTTAGTAGGGAAAAAAAATAGCAGTACTACAGGATTTCACCTTGCATCATGCACTCTGCTTTGAAAACAAACCCAAACGCTAAAGCTACAGGGAACGTAGTGTCCAGTATGTTAGCAGCAAAATCACCCTCTTTCACAAATGTGGTCAAGCTGCCAAAGCACACTCAGCTGACAGCTCCTTCAAAATGCAGGTATGTTTTGTGGGGTTTGCTTTTCCTCCCCCAGTAGTGTGATTTCGTGCCCAAGATAATATGTATGCTCATCATGAAACTAGAAGAATGCAATCCTCTTTCCCACATGACAGAAGTTTAATTCCTGCTAATTTACAATATTGTGGGGCATTTTTCGCATTTCCCCAAACACTTTTCAGCACCTGAAGCACAAGTAGTAAAAGTGAATAAAATTCAACTTTCATTCTAAGTAACAGAACACAAAGTCTGAGCATCCAGAACCCTAGGATTGACCTCTCTTCACTTTATAAATGCAAGTCATACACAGTAGTTTTTTGGGGATTTTTTGCTCCCATATATTACCAACAAGTTATGTTGCCTTTCACATTCTTCCCTCAGCTTGCTGCAGTGTTTGCTGGGGGCAACCTGACCTCAGTTCTTAGTACACTGAAACATACTGACCAGCAACGTTACCCTTACTTTGAAATCAGGAAGTCTGTAGAGTGACACAAAATCAACTTCTTAGAAATTAAAGGAGGAAAAGTATACACTGTCTACAAACTGAGGACCAGTAATTGACCACACACTGTTTTTTTTTTATTCCAAGTTGCTAGCATTCAGAATCAGGTTGACTCAAAACTTCTCTCACCGAATTAATCAGTAAACATTGTCTTGTCACTTGCTTAAATTAAGAATATACCGAGAAAAAAAAGTAATCAAAAGTTCAACAGCAAGACAACAGGAAAAACTTACTCAAATATTCCAAGCTTTCAAGACTTTAAATATCCAGTAGCTTAGTTTCTGCATACAGCTGTTCCCTATATGCTCCTTCCCCCCACACCAGTAGATAAAAATGAAAACATCCTCATTATGGAAAATATAACGTACTTCAGTAAATTTTGAACCTCATTGCAAAACTCAAACAGATAAAGAGAAGGGTTATTCCTCTTTGAAGTGGTGGGTTGTTTGGTTTTTTTTTGTTGGTTTTTTTTTTTTAATGTCATATGAATATAGACTTGGCAACTGTAAAGAAAAACTTCCATCAACTAAATCTAAGTTACAGGAAAGAAGGCACATTCCTTATCATCTGGTCAACTCATTCTGTTGGAAAGAAGAAAGTAAAGCAGATTGTGCATGTCTTCATTTTCTGCTTCCGTTGCAGCCCACTGGTTACCTATGCAAATATTTCAAAGTTCAACTTAAGGAACAGAAAAAAATTTTATGTGAATCCTTAAATATTTTTGAATTATCTAAAAGAAGGTTAAAATACATGATGATTCTGCCAAAGCTAAGCATATAGATTTCAAGTTTAGAATAAATTGTGTTTGTTGGTAACATGTGAAAACAATACAGACTGAAGATACCTTCCCTCAAATACATTCCCCCAACCAAAGCTTTCCCAAGCTCACACTTGCAGTTTGGTTTGGTGGTTTTCTGGGGTTTGTTTTGGTTTGGTTTTTGTCAGGTTTTTTCCCCCACAAGATGTAGCTATCTGTAGTAACAGTTCTGGTACAGCAGGAACTCTACATTCCATTCAGTCTGTCTTTCTTGGTGCTAAGAGCTCTTTACAGGTGAAAAGGATAAAGCTATTGCCCTATTCCATTTTGACAAACTGTCTTAAGTGGTTAGTTTCATTTACATGAAAGGAGGAGATATTTTTATAAAGTGATATAAAACACAGCCAAAAAGCTATTTTAAAGCAATTGTGTCCAACAACAAAAAGATCAGCATTTTTAATTTGTAGCACTGTTTCTCCCAACAGAGAACAGATGCCTACGGTCAGAGACCCAAGTTCTGTGAATACACTTGCCAAGTTGACTGTTTTAAATCCACCTCGAAATGGAATGTTTCAAATCATGAAAGGGCTAAAAGCTGCACATAAACATTATTTAATGTTAGACACACACTAAGTTTTATTAAGCATTACACTAGAACTACTTTGGTATAAAAAATACTTTATTTTAAAGCTATGAAAGTTATAAAAATATGTAGTTAAACTTTCTACTCACAGAATGTTTGCTATTTTTAACATTAGTGATTTGTTTCTCCTAACGAATCTGAATTTTATTCGAAAGGTTTACAAGACATTATTACTATAATTTTAAAAACCCAGCATTACAGGGAGCTGTACTAATTGTGATGTTTTATCAGTATTCATTTAACCTCTAGATTTTTAATGAAGGCAGCAAAAACAACTACTTTCTGATGATACAGAATTTCTTATTTCTTGAAGCGTTTCTGTGGTTGACCACTTCTTCATTAGTTACCTGCAGCATGGCACCTTCCTGCCAAAGAAAAAAAAAGTGTATCTGAAGATGTTTATCACATATGTCTAAACCAAATTACCAATAGGGGAACTTCAGCCATTTTTTAAAAAAAAAGTATAAGCAGTTCACTGGTGTGTCTAACACAAAAGGAACAGGACTTTTGTTAGCTGAGTCCACATTCTTCAGTGGGTAGCCTTTTAAAGGCAATGGAACTTTGAAATTAGGGCATTTTTTTGGTTGCCTTTTTTTTGGATGGGTTTTGTTGATTTTTATTTAAAAACCAAATCTAGTGGAGTATGCCACCCTTACTCTGAATAACTCATTCCTTGATGAATTTTCGTTAATTTGAGGCGCAAACATTCAATGCAGTGAGAGTAAGGCTGACTGAATTTGGCACTAAGGTTTATTAGCTGCAAGAACTATAAAAAATGGTGGAAACCTCAACATTCTAGCCAAATTCCAATTTACATAATTACATTACACGCTTATGAAATACCACCTGCAGTTTCATTTGAAGTTTTCACTTCCCCTCCTAAAGAACTGCTTATGCAGTTGTTAAAAGAAAGGACGACACATTCCTTCACAGAGGCAGATGTATTCTGTGGTGCAATTTTTTTCCTTACACGTAAACAGTCTACAGTTACTTGGGAACCTTCAGGACGAAACATGTTATGTAAAATAGATTACAGTAGACAAGACACATAACAACATAGTTCATTTTCAACAGCACAGAACTACCTTCACTGCATTACCTTGCAACCACCATAATGCATAGACTCCCAAGAAAAAATAAAATGTTGCAGGATGCAAAAATAAAGTTGTATGATTTAATTAACTTGTGACCTACCATTTTAACTACCAACACCAGGGATGGAACCCTTGCAAAGCTTTACTAATGGACACTTGCAGGTCTCATTTGTTCAACTGTAGCAGTGTACAGTGGCAGCAGTCTATGCTTGTCCAGGGTTCATATCATAGCTAGATTCCAGTAGGAAAAAAATATGTTAAGTAGCTGAAATTAACAAAAATTTGTTTGTAAAAAATTTAATAATACAAGAAAACAGGATTCACAAATTTCAATTGGTAATTGTTAACTCAATTCATTGCTATGTTAAACTACGTAACAATCACTATACTGAAAGAATACTGTCATACAATATTAGTTTCTTGGTTTTGGAACATTAAGAAAGGAAAAGTAAATAAGATCTTACCTAAAGAAGTTTAACTGAAGCTTAGAACTATTTTGCTCTACACCCTCAGCCTTCGTTGGCATCCTTATAAACTACTGTAGTTAAAGCTTTGCAGAAATACAGCGCAGCTTTTTAAGACTGGCTGAACTTAGTGACGTTTTCAAGAGTTCTCTTGTACTAGACCTGTGTCCCTGGAAGAGTACCTCGCTGGGGATATTTCCTTTCCTTGCCATTGAAGAAGCAGCATCTAAAAGATCTAAAAAGGTGTTTCTCCTTGCAGAGATATCCCTTAAGTTATCTAGATATTTTAAACCTGATCATTTACAGACAACATACTTTTTTCTGACCAGCATTTAATTTTACATGTACAACAATAGCTTTATATTATTTGTGGGACCTTATGCTACCCACTCCTTGCCTTATTTTACAATATTAAAAAAAAAATCTAAAATTACACAATAGTTCCTTTAGAATTATTTTATTAAATCATAAATGTACAACAGCTTCTTAACTCTACACACGCACTTAAATTTTTAAAAGGAAAACGTTATGTCTTATTACACCATGATCCTGGCTAATAGCTTTTCAAAACTTTGAGAAAAATCTTAAAAAAGGTTTCACATGTCACCTGAAACTTACAAATTTAACATTATCAAAGGAATGCTTCTACACTTACAAAGACCACTAGAAAGAAACAACAATTAAAAAGCTAAGAAACTGTCTCAAAGGCATTTTTACAATCCTTCCTCCACAGTAAGGTAATGTTATTAAATAATCCAAATCCATTCACAAAATGGCTCTCTGCATCTGCTCTGGTGTCTTCTGCCATATCACTGCATATTTATGCATGACTGAGATAAGTGTTTCCTTAACATTGTTATTTCGATAACCTGAAGCTGTTCTGTTACCTCTGGGCTCTCATCCTCTCCTATTTATACAGTGAAGCCTGTTTCAACAGAAGTAAAGAGTAAAAAAATAGGTTATGAAATTATTCATCTAACCATTTTTTAAAGGAAAGATAATACGATCCTAAAAAGCTTTTAACTCCTGCAGCTACTCTCAAGAATCACTGCAATTTTAACACTTAAAAACATACTTACCCATGACATGCTTGCAAAAACTCAGTAACGGCTCCTCCCTCCATAGCCACCACTTCCTCCACTGCCCCCGGGACCATAGTTTCCTGCAGTTGCAGAAAAAGGACAGAACAAACATTACATCAGTACACTTCTTAAAGCTTGGAATGCTTTTAATTCTGTATGAAGATTAACATCTGCTTTACTTCTAGAGATGGCATATACAAGGAAGATTTTAACATTTCACTGTCTTACTCTAAATATCTTTCAAGAACTGCATGCTGAAACTGAAGAATATTCAACAGTGTCACATGTAATTTGATGCACTGTACTGCTGTAAGCCTGTGAGGGCTGAATTTATTTTGCATGCTAAATCTTACAAGAAAGGGCTTAGTGTTTCACATTCCATTTCACAAGCTTTACACGCCGTATTAAATAACATTCAGACAACAAAAAGCAGCAAGTGTCATAAAAAAGTGACACAACAACAAAGGGGGGAGACGGGAGTAGAAATCCAAGCAAGTTTAATGAACATTAACTGGACTCTACAAATACTGTGAGCCAACAGCAAAGAATATGAAACTTTGCTAAGAACTTTGCAGACTGAAAACTACAAAACATTTCATAATGTTCTGAGAGAAGTTAGTATCTTATTAATCTTTTAAAAAATAGTAAAAATTTTCCCAGAGACAAACTTTACAGTCTCATGATGAGAAATTGTAGCCAACTTGCAGAAAGAACATGGGCACTTACAGTCCATCTATTGCAGAAGTTATCCAATGACTACGTATCAGTCTTATGATCACAGAATGGTTTGGGTTGGAAGGGATCCTAAAGATCATCTAGTTCCAACCCCCCTGCCATGGGCAGGGACACCTTCCACTAGACCAGGTTGCTCAAAGCCCCGTCCAGCCTGGCCTTGAACACTGCCAGGGAGAGGGCAGCCACAGATCCTCTGGGAAACCTGTGCCAGCGTCTCACCACCCTCACTGTAAAGAATTTCTTCCTTGTATCTGAATCTATCCTCTTTTAGTTCTAAAGAGTAACCCCCATCCTAGCTTCCTTTCCACCTTCTCAGAAGATTTAAGTCCCACCCACTGAGGCTCCAAGGCACGTCAGGACATATACAGTACCTCCACCATATGGTCCCCCCATATTCCTGCTGCCACCAAAATTTCCACTCTTCATTGGACCATAATTTGAAGGTTGTTGGTTGTAATTTCCAAAATCATTATAGTTTCCACTTCCGTAATTGCCTGCATTATCAATACAAAAGTGGAGAAATACCTAGATGAGCTAATATGCATACAGCACCCACAAAGTTATCTCATTATTAGAATTTTAAATAAGTACAAAATCACACATGTATTCCAACAGTGTATGCAATGAACTGCTTTTTCATACTATTTGGAAAACAAGAGCTTCCTTAGACAATGTTTACAACACACTCCCCCCTTAGCCCCCCCATCTCAAATGACTTGCAGTAATCTACAACTGAAATGTTTGGTCATTTCAAGCCCGTAGGTTACCTCCTCCATAGTTGTCATAACCACCTCCATAGCCCCCACCCTGGTTGCCATATCCAGGTCCTCCTCCACCATATCCTCCTCTTCCTCCTCCGTAACCAGGACTGCCACCAAAGTTGCCACCTATGACAATATAATCCTTTAAAATAAACTTTTCAGTGTAGAAGGCAACCAAATTCTACAGAATCAGAGGGTATTTTCTGTTTAGAAGTCTACATGGGAAGAAAACAGTAGGAGTTTTGTAATGAAATTTCTATAAATACTATTTTTAAAGGAATGTAACAACTCCCACCCTAACTGAACTGTGACCAAAACCCACCAGTCAGGCAGCCTAAAAGTCTCAATTAAAAAGCTTAATTAAAATCTTGATCTTTCAGGAAATTTAAGAAACACTGCTATTCTCAAGATAATAAAAGGGGCATGGTTACCCAAGAAATAATCAAACAATTTGCCATATAAAGGTTTAACATGAGCCAACAGCCATATGTGCTTCTTAAAGCCAACCAAATGGTTTTGGCAATTAAATGGTAAGGAAATGTAAAAGTGTTTCTGAATGAGAAAAAAAATGACCATCACAACAGTAAACTAACCTCCGGGTCCTCCACCATATCCATTATACCCATCACCAAATCCACGGCCACTTCCATATCCATCTGTAGAGGAAAAAACCCAAAGTATTTCAGTTCACCTGTACTTGGAATTCTCAAACCCCTGTGAGCTTAAGGACCAACTCTCAGAGATTATTGATTAAGCACAAATAAACTTGAATTTAGAAAAATATACGTGAAATAAACACATCCAATAATTGCTCTACATTTTGCATTTTCTTGTATTTGTAAGGTACCCTGTTTTAATTTTGGACATAGAGCCTCCATTGTAAAGGTCAGGCAAGTGCTGCATAGAATTACAGAGAAGAAACTCTTGAATAGAATTATCAATTTTAGGTTAGTTTTAGCATTCAGTAAAATCCTTAAAAAAAGCCCCCAAACCAACTGAATTTTCCTGAATATTCACTTAATCCATTTGTGT